TATATATTTCTCTACAGGACCAAGGAGAAGTACTGTATATATTTTTTCAAGAGAGTGAAGAGATTTAGCAGAAGCAGTCGACGAGCCCATGGGTTTCTAAATCAGCGTTTTTTAGGTGGGTTTAGTTTTATTTGGCAGTATTGAGGTTTATTATTGTACTCATATCTCTGTTGTTAGAGAAGCAATAATTAATTTCATCTTTCTGTTCATGGAAATTATATAATTTATGCGTGATTTACCATAAGCCATCTACCAACTGGCTCTCTATAACTGTTAATAGTTATTTAGAGGGAAAAATGCATCTATACATTGCTGTAACTTACTTGGTCCTCAGACTTTATTAATTGTGAATTTAGATTTTTGATAATGTCTCTTAAAATCAGTCATTGCAATGAGAGCAGGATCCTTTAAGCCTTGCAACTTTGTGGCAAGATGTTGGTATTACAAAATGCAAATCATGAGATCATTGTCGTGTGATATAAGGATTTTATAATATATTTCACTTGCTTTGTCAGTCATTATGAATGTTGCAAATATTCATGATTATTCTAAAACCCTGTATTTTATTCCACAGCTGCACTAAATCCCTACTAACTGAAATATCCATGAACCACCATTGCTAAAAGTAATATCATAGCATTGACAGAATGGAATATAAGCTCATTAAAGGTAGTAATAGAAGTCTTTAAATATGACAGTTGCTTAAACATTTACCATCAGCCAATATTAGTCTCACAAGGCTCATTATTTGAGTATTCTGATTTTCTAAACAAAATTCGCAGATGTTGCCAGCGTACAAAGAAGTATCCTTGATGCTCATCACACTGTTGCCGCTTGCTTTGCATTTTGAGTCTAACAGAACACGTTGCATATTAACTCATGTTTTAAGGTAAGTGTTGGAGACTGAACTAACATCCATGTGGAAACAAATTTTTATTTTCGACGCACTTGTTGCCACTAATCTGTTATAAAGATCTTATTGTTGATATACTACATCTTTTTGAAAATGTATGAAATAAGTGAATGAATTATTATTTTATGATTTTAGCAGAAATTCTCTTAACTAGGTTATTATGTGGAGTTACCGTTAGAAAATACTGTTATCCTGCCCCCAGTTTCGGTCTTAAAAACAAGTCAACTATTAAAATCAATTGAGGTCTCAGAAAAAGATATGAAAAATTAATCATGGTACATAATTTTAAATCATATACCAACAATCTATCGATAAAATTTACTATATCACTTACTTTAACACCCCAATTCCATTTATTGTCAATAAAATGTAAGTTATTTCAGTACAGAATTAATTAATTCTTTTCTATAGTTCTGTATATGTCATGGCATATTTTCAAAACAGACATATGGGAATTTCAGATCTAAAGCTAAAAAATACAGAGGTAAACAGAATTTTGAAAATTATATTACAATCGATGCCAAAAGTTTAACGAAACAAGAAAATGATGTGAAAAAGCCATAATTTCTTACAGATGTATTGTGAGTGTAAAATTAGGTTGATGTTTTGTAAAATTAAGACGATAATATTAAACAATAAAATAAGATACCAGATAAAGATTCACTTTGACTGAATAGTAATCACTATTTTGCAGTGTACCTAGACTTAATATTCATAAGAAGAACTGTAGAGAAAAGCAGAAAATTTATTGGAATTAGAAAACCTAAGAGGATTTATCTGCATCATTGGTTCTCAACCTGTGTGTCATGATGACCTTGCCAGTGAGTCACATAATAAGTTACAGATATGTATTTCTTACCATTGACTTGACGTTTTACAGTCTGAACAATTGGCATGATGTATAGAATTAACCTTAAGTTTTTCTTTAGATAGAGTTTATTAAGTTTTCTTATAGAAGTATGTACATTTTCAAGGGAATGTGATAGCTATGTAACTATGTATCATGCATTCGTATACTAATGGTGTTTGGCAGATGTGTATTTTTAATGCGTTGCCAGACTGCAGAGGTTGAGACCCATTAATTTACATAATATTTAAAGTGCATACCTGCTTCTGAGTGAAACTTTTAATACTGTTGAAGTATGTCTGAACTTTTAAAACCTAGATGAATTTCTACAGTGAATAATCAAAAGAGATTTTTTTTACTGTCATCTACATTTACAGTGTTTTTTTACACAAAGTTCTTTTTGAGAATGTAGAAAATACATCTTGGAGAATAAGTGTGAAGTGGAAAAATCAAGGCAAGGTTTGCAAACTGAGTTAAGGTTGTATTCGATATTAAGTTGCATCAGTGAATTGCCTTGCACAGTCTTTGTCAACTAATGCAAAAATTTGGTGTTGACTAACTGAAACTGTGGGTCTCAGATTTATGACGGTGACTCTTTCATGTAGAAGATGTATATTTTTCACAGATTTAAGACATTTCATATTAGAAATACATTGTCTTATGAGATGTTCAAAGAAAATTTGATGAATTGTTAGTTTTATTCTTCTGACAGTATCTCCAGCCACAATCAATAGGAATTCTGACTTTTTCACTTTGGTTTTATCTGTTATAGAGTATTAAAAAAAATCTGAATTGTTATTTTCAGAGGAAAGTAGATAGATCAAAACTGGGTAGACTAGTTCATGCAGCTTTCTGTCATATCATATCTTTATTTGTACCTCTTCTGCATCTTTGTTGTTCATTACAAAAAAATAATACTTCATGCTGAAAAATTGGTTCAGAGTCCTATATAAATTGGTTCAGAGTCCTATATAAATGGAGAATAGTATATATGTATGTATCCAAAAAAGTGTAATAAGGGGTCATTAAACTCTGGAGTACAGAGGTAGTGCCAGCTCTCCTATCAGGATTTCTAGCATTTCTTTGGCATTTTTCAAGTACTTAGGTGCATAGTGGAGTAGGAGATCACTCATTGTTATAATAGGGAAAAAAAGACTTGCATTTACATATGCATGACAGTTATTGGAAATTATCTGCTCATATAATATCAGAATGTTAGTGATTTATTACCAATGCTACTGCAACAATATATACATTTCTGCCAAAGCAAATAACATATTTTTGTATATTATGTTCTCTTAAGAATTTATTAAAAAAAATATATATATATATATCACAAAGTCAACGTTCACAGAGTGGTAAAAAAATGAGAAAAAACACTGATCTATAGCCTTAGTTTAGGGTGCATATTAATGCAGACAACAGTTTACTATATATCTGTTTCTAAATTGATTTCACTACTGTGTTTTATTTCCAGACCTAAATTATGTTTAATGTGAAAAAAATAGCATCATAGAAAAAAAATTGCTTTTGAAGACGACTGATATTTTTATGCTCGCTTGTTATGTTAATTTCTAGTAATATCTTGTTCTTAGTATATGCTGAGTGCCTAGGTGACATTTAACATATGTATGAAATAAGAGAGATCTACTTCTTTTGTTATTTAATACAAATAGATTATATTTATAAGGAAATATAGAGGAAATTATTGATTAGGAAGCTTCTTGTTTATAATATCAATAGTTCTTTATGCAAATATAATTTTTCAATTACTGACAGCTGGAATGTCTATGAAATTATAATTCATTCCATATAATGTCATTAATATTCTTTTCTTCATGGATTCAAAAGATAGGACCAATGGAATAACAGGCATGATAACTCTTTTATTTTATAATCCAAGAATGACATATTTTGACATCATTCAAGACTTTGGTTTCTAAATATGCAGCATACATTGTCATGATTCTTTGGTAGTGGTGGTTTAAGACCCACTTATTTGATTTCAAAATCATCAATTTATTTAAAGTCTCCAGTTTCTAAGAATAAATATTCTTTACTTCCAGTTGCAAGAGGATTCACCTGTGTAATCTCTTTTTTTTTTATGAACCTCATAATTTAGTTTTAACAGTTTATTTTTAATATTTTGATTATGTCACTCATATATAATTAGGTAGAGGATAGAAAGCTTTCCCAATGATATACATACACAAAATAAACTTTCAATCAAGTTTATTTGGGTAACCCTAGAAGCATCTACTGTTTCCTTGATGACTAGTGTAAGTGATTTTGTGATTTGATCAGGGCAGGATTTACCTACTTGTGGACTCGAGATCAAATTCATAAATGGGCCCGCTGATAGGTCCCTATATTTGTAGGCCCCTGTACTCAGAGCCCTATGCTTGTAGTACAGGAGCCCTTATGGTTGTGAATGACTGAAAGACTTGGTGTACACTTGACACAAGGTTATATACTATAACAGTGTGACAGATAGTCTCAATGGCATACTTGGCATATAAGTAATTCGGCCTGAATTTTATTGTCTTTATATAGTGACTATACTTTTAGATCTAAGAAAATGGTCAAGCGCATTACCAGCAATTTAGGGGAGGGTTACTACTTACTGTAAAGAATCATATATTATTTGCAAGAATGAATGAGTAAGAAAATAAAGTGAAAAGTTGGGTTTTCAAGATTATGGGGTACTTTACACCTAAGCACTAGCACAGCATTCTCCACCACTGCATTTCTAATTTGCCTAATCTGTATTTACAAATAAGATTTTCATGAAGATGCCAGAACATGTAGTTTTATAGAATAAGTTACATATTAACAAAATATGGGACAGATAGAAATAAAGATTTTTTTTTAAGATCATCATAAGTAAAGTTAATCATAACATGTAATATATATTAACTATGGTATTATTTCCTTTCAGTGGATCATCTGAAGCTTCACAGAGAAATGACTTCAGGAGCTGCCACGGAAGATCAAACTTATCGTGTATAACCATGTGATAAGACATTCAAAGGAATCAGCTTTCAAGAGGAGACTAATACGTCTATCTTTGGTGAATAATTAGAATATTAGGAAAAAAAATTGAGATTCTTCTCAATATGTAAATGTGTGAAGCTATGGTATATGTAATCTTATTATTATGGTAATCTTACTGTGTAATTGATGTAAATGATCTTTACATATATTTGTATTATCTCTGTAAAAGCTGAAGGTGTAGTGGTCTTACAAGATTTGAAAAAAAAGGAAGACTTCTTTTAAGGAAGGTCTTTTATTCATACCCAGAAAAAATTGGGTCTTGATAAAACAACCAAAAGCTAATCTGAAGTTGAATATATATATATTTATATATACATATATATATGTATATAGATCTATATATATGTATATATATGTATATATTTATATATATATATATATATATATATATATATATATATATATATATATATGCATACATATATATGTATATATATATATATATATATATATATATATATATATATATATATATATATATATATATATATATATATATATATATATATATATAGATATATATATATATATATATATATATATATATATGTATATTATATATATATATATGTATATATATATATATATGTATATATATATATATATGTATATATATATATATATATATATATATATATATATATATATATATATATATATATATATATGTATATATATATATATATATGTATATATATATATATATATATATATATATATATATATATATATATATATATATATATATGTATATATATATATATATATATATATATATATATATATATATATATATATATATATATATATATATATATATATATATATACATATATATATACACAGTATATATATATATATATATATATATATATATATATATATATATATATATATATATATATATATATATATATATATATATATATATATATATATATATATATATATATATATATATATATATATATATATATATATATATATATATATATATATATATATATATATATATATATATATATATATATATATATATATATATATATATATATATATATATATATATATATATATATATATATATATATATATATATATATATATATATATATATATATACATATATATATATATATATATATATATATATATATATATATATATATATATATATATATATATATATATATATATATATATATATATATATATATATATATATATATATATATATATATATATATATATATATATATATATATATATATATATATATATATATATATATATATATATATATATATATATATATATATATATATATATATATATATATATATATATATATATATATATATATATATATATATATATATATATATATATATATATATATATATATATATATATATATATATATATATATATATATATATATATATATATATATATATATATATATATATATATATATATATATATATATATATATATATATATATATATATATATATATACATATATATATATATATATATATATATATATATATATATATATATATATATATATATATATATATATATATATATATATATATATATATATATATATATATATATATATATATATATATATATATATATATATATATATATATATATATATATATATATATATATATATATATATATGTATATATATACATATATATACATATATATATATATATATATATATATATATATATATATATATATATATATATATATATATATATATATATATATATATATATATATATACAAGACCTTCAGAATTGGTACAATATGGGAACACACTTTCAACAGACAGTGGTTCAGTAAAGATAAGAAAATATGAACAAATTATGCAAGGAAAGATTCTTATCATAATATTTATGGGAGAAATTTTCTATATTAAACAAGGAAGTTGGGAAATATATATTGAAAAGGAAACATCAACAGAATTCATCAAGCAAAGCAAGAATAGGGGTAAGTTTTATATTGAAATATTCCCAGAAGAAAAATAAATGTAAGGAACACTATTAGAATGTTTGTTTCTGGTATTTGAAACATATAAATTTAAAGAGAAATTTAATTTGGCAAATCACTAAACCATATGAGAATACACTTAACAAATCCATGCAATTGCCAGGTGCACGGTGTTGTCTGCGATACAAAATGCTCTTATGAAGCACAAAAAGAATACGTACAAAAGAGTAGACATTTAACTAATAAATAATTTTCAGAGAACATTCATTATTAATATTATTGAAATAGACAGTCTCATACTAGGAAAGATTATAACAGATATGAAGAAAATACTCACAGAATAGATATTGAGTTATACTTTATATAAAAAATTTCACAAATATATATAATATAGATATTATAAGATATTATAATGATCATTATCGTCATCATATACTATTATTATTATTATCATTATTATTATTATTATTATTATTATTATTATCATTATTATTATCATTATTATTATTATTGTTATTGTTGTTGTTGTTGATATTATTATTATCATCATCATCATTATTGCTGTTATTGTTCTTGTCTTTGGTGCTATTGTATTATTATTATTGTTATTATTATTATTATTATTATTATCATTATTATTATTATTACCATTATTTCTTTTTTTGTCATAATTTTCATTATTGTTATTATCACTAGTGGTAGCATTACTACCATAGTTGCTATTATTACTATTAATATTGTCGTTGCTGTTATTATTATTTTTTATTGTTTTGTTGCTGTTGTTATTGTTGTTGTTAATATTATTATTGTCATTAATATTACTATTAATATTATTAATATTCTTCTTCTTTCTCTTCTTATTGCATTTATGTTAATTATGATAATGAGGATAATGATAATAGAAATTACTATTTTTTTGTGCTTTTACTGTTGTTATTATAAGAATAATAATTATTATTATCAGCAGTTTAATTTTGTTAATATTATTATTATGTTACTATTATTGTCATCATTATTATTTTTATTATTATTAGCACTGTTTTTAATATTATCATTATTTTCATTATTATCATTATTATTGTTCTTATTGTTAATAATAATCTGTTATTATTATTATTATAATTTCTATAATTATGTTTTATTGGTATTATTGTAGTTGTTTTTACTTTTTGTTGTTATTTTTATTATCATTATCATTATTATTGTTGTTTTTGCTATTATTATCTTTGCTATTGTTATAATAATAATAATAATAATAATAATAATAATGATAATGATAATGATAATGATAATGATAATAATAATAACAATAATAATAATTATTATAATGATTATAGTAATAATAATAATAATGATAATAATAATAGTAATCTATTATTTCTTTTTTTGTCATAATTTTCATTATTGTTATTATCACTAGTGGTAGCATTACTACCATAGTTGCTATTATTACTATTAATATTAATCGTTGCTGTTTTTATTATTTTTATTGTTTGTTGCTGTGTTATTGTTGTTGTTAATATTATTATTGTCATTAATATTACTATTAATATTATTAATTTTATTCTTCTTTCTCTTCTTATTGCATTTATGTTAATTATGATAATGAGGATAATGATAATTAAAATTACTATTTTTTTTTGTGCTTTTACTGTTGTTATTATAAGAATAATTATTATTATTATCAGTAGTTTAATTTTGTTAATATTATTATTATGTTACTATTATTGTCATCATTATTATTTTTATCATTATTAGCACTTTTTTTAATATTATCATTATTTTCATTATTATCATTATTATTGTTCTTATTGTTCATAATAATCTGTTATTATTATTATTATAATTTCTATAATTATGTTTTGTTGGTATTATTGTAGTTGTTTTTACTTTTTGTTGTTATTTTTATTATCATTATCATTATCATTATCATTATTATTGTTGTTTTTGCTATTATTATCATTGCTATTGTTATAATAATAATAATAATAATAATAATAATAATAATAATAATAATAATAATAATAATGATAATAATAATAACAATAATAATAATTATTATAATAATTATAGTAATAATAATAATAATGATAATAATAATAATAGTAATAATTTTTAATAATATCATTATTATTATTATTTTTTAATTATTATTATTATTATTATTATCATTATTATTATTATCATTATTATTATTATTATTATTATTATTATTATTATTGTTATTTTTATTATTATTATTATTATTATTATTATTATTATTATTATTATTATTATTATTATTATTATTATTATTATTATAATTGTTGTTGTTGTCGTTTATGGTATTAAACAGAAGTGAGAGAGAGAGAGAGAGAGAGAGAGAGAGAGAGAGAGAGAGAGAGAGAGAGAGAGAGAGAGAGAGAGAGAGAGAGAGAGAGAGAGAGAGAAAGGGAGAGAGAGAGAGAGAGAGAAGGAGAGAGAGAGAGAGAGAGAGAGAGAGAGAGAGAGAGAGAGAGAGAGAGAGAGAAGAGAGAGAGAGAGAGGGAGGGAGAGAGAAAAAGAACGAGAGGGAGGGGGTGAGAGTGTGAGAGAGAGAAAAAGAGGAAGCAAAAGAGAGATAAAACGTATGTATGTATGTGGCAGTGTTCTTGCGTGTGTATCTGAGAGTGTCTTGATCCGAGAACCATTATTTTTAACATTAATTTCTCAGTCGCTTAAGTCAGTTAACTCCACCAGTCATCACGCACTCAAAATACCAACCATTCATCTGGATTTCTCTAGTGATGGATTTTGTCTTCATTACTCACAACTTTTATTTTTTCATATAGGATTTGTGGTTGTTTTATATTGCCTAAATTACACTTATACAACTCTAGCCCCCTAGAATAGCTCATGTTTCGCACCCCCCCCCCCCCCCCACCACACATACTAAGAACCTAACCTAACCTAACCTAACCACTAACCCCCCCCCCCACCCCCTTAAGAAAAAGCGGCTCTTGTGATTTATACCCGATGATACCCACGTACCATCTGACCAAAGAGGGGGGGGGGAAGAGGGGGGGAGGGGGGTTCTCACTTCCTCACTATGAAGTTGCAAGACACCGGCCTGTCCAGTAGACGCCGCTATTCATTCTGAGGGTCCTTTGTTGGACGACCAGGTCAGTCAGAGGCTCTTTGCTACCGAACTACTCAATTGATCCTCGATTTTCTCTCCACCGA